CGATGGGGGCAAGAATCGAGGGAGAGTTGCAGTTGTCAGGGAGTAATCCTTTGGTATTATATGTTAGTTGCTTTTTAAAAGAATTATGTGGTCTTAAATATAAGTTGATTTTTCAAGAATTTAGGTGACATTATTTTTTTTCCAAACATACTCTTCTTTTCAAATTCCAATAAGAAAATAGAACATGTTTACTTTTTAAATTTATAATTTTTACAAGAGTTAAAAAATCAAAACAATTTTTAATGATGTAACTAACTTTTATCAGTTAATGTGTGAGTTAGGTTTAGAAAATATCAAAATACATAAAAATAATAATTTAAAAATTATAAGCAGTGTTGTTTAATGTAAAGTATATAATGCAAGAAATTATAACATTCAAAAAATAAAATAAAAAAGAAACTGGGTCCAAAAAAAAATGATTTTGGGAGACTAGTGCAGTTCCATGAAATTTTTACATTACATCGTGGAGCCTCGTGCATTACACTCGTTACCCTTTCACCAATAGCATGACTCGTTAAAAAGCTTGACATTTTAATTATTTATTGGACTAACAAAACTTTTGGCTATAAATACATACTGTTCTATGTCATTTTATGCTTGCAAAAATAGCTATTTGTGGGCTATATAAATAGTGCGCATATAAACGGTCAAAGAGACGAAGACTCTTTAGTTCCAATCACTCATTCCTTTTTGACAAGCACTGTTTTAATGAGTTTATTTTTTTTAATGCAATGAGGTTTTTTTTTTAAATGAATGTTCTTGTATAAATATACGGGAGCATATAAGAGTGCTTTCCTAGCTTTATACTAATAATATTGGAAAATAGCATTTGATGATCCGGCTTTGTCTTTAATTAGTCAGGTTGGTTTAATTAATGTCAGCTAACCCAAAAGGAAGGAAATGATAATTCTTCGTAAGGCGATGACAAGCCATCAAAGACAATCCAATGACAAGTCAATTGTTAATTAATTTTTACTCATAATTACCTGTTTATTAAAAATGTTCTTTCTTGATGTACTAAACGTGAAAATTTGAATATTGATTCATCACTTAATAAAAAAAACTAACCCTCTTAGTTATATTCAAATCCTGTTAGTTATTGTCAACCTTTTTATAGTTAAACTAGTAATTTTAAAATTGATTGGAAACACACAAGAAGAATATTTAAGTTAACCACTTTCTTTACGAGAGGATTTAACTTCCTTGCATGAAGTGTGTGTTTCTTTGTAAAAATCATAACCTTTACATTGAGCGAGTGCGAAATAACTAACATCAACCTCTATTCACTAACCAATGTCCTAAAAAAGAGCATCTGTAAATTTACCAAAGTGAATGGAAATTGTTATATTTTACTATAAAACGTATTATAAACTCTAAACTATTATCTAAATAACATTTTAAATCTTGAATCTTAAAAATATATAAAAACTCCTCACAATTTTTAAATTTTAAATGCCTGAAATCTTGCCATTAAATTGAAAAAAATAACCTTTATTTTTAAGCTTCAAGATAAGTGTCACTTGACCGTTTTCTTCAATTTAATGATCATGTTTCTAACACTCAAAATTTAAAAATTAAAGAAATTTGTTTTATATTTTAAAAGTTCAGGGTATATGATGCTACTCATACAAAAAGTTAAGATTTAAGATACTCATTAATCACATTATAAATATTAAAGCATTAGTATTTTAATAAAAGTATAAAAAATTATCTGACTAGTTGGCTAATGACTGCCGGTCAACAATAACAAAAGGAAGATAGCTAGGCTCGGAAATATTTTGACATATTTATAAGATTCATTAATCATTTTTCTTAACTCCAATTACTATCAAATTTTAACTCACATGAGTATAAAATATTAAAATTACTCGCACACTAAAATCAATTTGTCCAAAATTCACCTCACAGTATACAATCCGCGGCAACTCCTTGATCCGGTGAACAAGTGAGAGAAGTTTGTCGTAATCTGAAGTGCTGGGTAAATTGACCATTTTAAAATAAAAGTAATTATATGAAATAAATTACTTAAAAAATATAAAAGTAAAAAAAGCACCCCCTCTATTAAAAAATATAAAATAATTTTAATCAAAATTTTTTATATAATAAAATAGTTATCTATTTTTAAACTAACTTTATTTTTACACATTTATTTTTATTAAATACTCTATATTAAATATAAAATTATTTATCAATAAAAGTATTTAAAAAAATAATAATAATATCTAAAAGGTTGAAAATGTTACGTTTAACTTTTTAAAAAATATTTTTATAAACGGTGGGAATATGATTTAAAAAAAATCGAAAATGAATGATAACGAAAAGTTCGGCGACTTTGTTGTTGTGTATGTGTTTTGGTTGGTTCACAGCTGTATCTGGACATTTCTGAATTATTGTTTTGTAATCTTCTGCTACGCAGTTTTTGAGTAGCAGTGTGATTGCTTGTTATTTCTAAAGGAGAAAATCACACAAAGCGCTCTGAAGTCTGAACAAGCTTCCCTCAAGTACCATACATCTATTGATATTTCACATTTTCATCGCTTGGGAGCTTGAACTCTGATAATTAATTTTTTTTAAGTATATTGCAATTGTTATATGCCTCGTTTATTTCTTTTAACGACTCATCTAGCTTATTACGTTTTTATATAATTATATAATATTCAGTGTTTTTATTTAAATTTGAGTTTTATCAAGCTTAATTCAATAATTCTTAAATGCATAAAATAGTAAATTGACTCTTATATTATAGATCCTAGAGCGTCTTAGGTTCTAAATTTATTTTTAATGTAATATTTAATTTAATTTTTTAAAATGATACAATCTAATGTCTATTATTAATAAAATTAACTTTAATAGCTAATTGATCATTAAATGATAAAAAAATAACATAAAAAATAACCAATGAATTTTTTTGATGCTTTTCTATATTTTTTTGAATTTTTATTTGTAATTGTTGGACCAGTCATTGTAATTTTTTGACATTTTTTATAAATTTTAAGGCTCTTTTATGTTATTTTTTTATTAACTAATGATTAAAATTGATTTTTATTAACAACATGATTGGATTATATTATTTTTAAAAGTTAAAAAAATATTATATAAAAATAAGTATAGAGTTCTAGGCTCTTAAAATTATAGCATACGATCCTTTACCCTTCTTAAATTGATGTTTTCAAATTCAATGTTCACATGAATTGGACATAAAATCATTTGCTCAAATTATCATAATTCATCTATCAAGATTTTTGAATGAAAATACTTCATTTATCTTAATTTATAAGATATTTCAAATAAAATCATGCACGTTCTAAAGTTCATTAAATGCATAATATTATTTTTTTAAAATAAAAATATAATTTTTTAATAATATCACTTATTTAATACTTTATTTATAAAAATATTAAATATAAATATAATATAATGGGAAGGATAATATTAAAACAGTATCATTAATAAAATTTTATTTCTATTAAAATGTCTTATATTTCAAGACATTAACACTTTGAAAAGGAAGTAATATTTTTGGGAGAATGAGAGTAAAGTATCAAAAAATAAAATTAATGATAACTAGATTCCTAATAATTTTAAAATATTAATTTAAATAATTATAAATTTAAATTTAAATTACAAGTTAAAAGTTACACTTAAAATTTAAATATTTTATATAAAATTAAAATTCTTAAATTAACAATTGTTTAAATTGATACTTATTAACCGGGGCAAACCCACGCTAAAGCTAGTAGGGGCAAGGGGCAGTTGCCCCTACAAGTTAGGAAAATGACACACAACAAGACCTGTAAAATTGTACGTGCCCCCTTAAAAGTATTTATTTGCCCCCATTATTGTTTTAAAAATATTCATTTGCGCTTTACTTATTCACTTATACCCTATAAAATTTGATCACCTAAGGGACTAAAAAATTTATGCCATTGAAAGATATTTTTTTTAAATAACTTTTTATAATTTTATATTTTATTCATTATTTTTACTATTTAATTTTTTATGTTATATCGTTGCTATAATTTTTTATAAAAGTATAAATGTTTATTAAATACAAATTATGCTTTCACTGATTTATCTTTTGGGCATGTCATCGTTCACTATTTATTTTTTCAGTCATAAACTTTGTTTTTGACAACTTAACTTTTATGACATGCTTGGCTCACAAAATAATAATAATAATAATAAGGAGGAGAGAAAATGAGAGAAAAAAATGAAGAGAAGAAAAAAAAAGGAAAAGATGTAAATTTTTCTCACTGTGTTTAGCTGAATAAAAGAAAATAAGAACGAGAAAAAAGTTGTTAATTTTATATAAACAATAATAACTTTATTATTTATAAAAATATTTATATAATAAAATTTAAAATTTTAAAATATTATATATATAATAATTTTTATCATATATTATTGATTGAACAAAAACATAATTAAAAATTATTTTATCTAATTTAAAATTTTATTGATTTAATTATTAAATATATAATAATATTAAAATTTGAAACTATAATTAAATATGTATACAAGGTACTTAACTAAAAATTAACTTAAAAATTTATAATTAATATTTATTAATTAATTTTAAAATTAAATATACTTATTTTTTAACAAAATTTTACGATTAAAATGTAACTATACTGAGCTGGCAATAGAAAAGTTGGTACGTAATTTTAAAAGTAATTTTTTTTTCAAAATTTTTTCATATTTAAATATAAAAGTTAGGAATAAAAATATATAAATTTTATATGTTTTTTTTTTTAACTTTCCTCTTCCATTCTAACGAAGATCACTTTTTCCGTCAATTTTTCTCTCTCATTCAGCGCAGCATTGGTGTCGCAATATATTTTATTGTTTTGGAAGAAAAGATTCCAACTCAATTTTGGAAGAAAAAGCAAGACCTGGCAACCTCATTTTGTAATTAAAGAATGACCAATAAAACAAAAGTTTCGACCAAGTTGGCTTGTCTCGATCTATAAATAAGGCGCTTCAGCCACGCAGAATTCCCTCCCTCCTCCTCCTCCTCCACCGGTCGCAGATATTTTCTACTCTCGCTTCTGGTCCCTCCACCCTCTCCTCCTCTTTGTTCCACAAATTCACTCTCCTCCGTCCCCTCTCATTCTTCCTCCCTTCCCTTCCCGATTTCTCCATATTCTTCTCCCAACCCTCCCCCCCTAAATCCCTCCCAATCTTCCCTTTTCTTCTCGATCAACCTCCGAAATCCACGATTCTCTCATCAAATCTTCCCTTCTCTGGCGGATTTGATTGTTGGATCTGGTGGAACAGGAAAGTCACGTCCACGATCTGTTTCTTTTTCTTTCTTTTGTTTCTCTGGTTTAAGTCGTAGTTTTCTAGAGGCTTATCTTAAATGCCCAATTTCATGTTCTTGATGTTTGAGATTCATGTATCCAATTCTCAGTGAAATCTTCCTTTCTGGGTGTATGATCAATTCCACTGTCAGGCGCAGGACCCACCTTGTTCAATCCTTCTCGGTTGCCTTCCTCTACTGGTTATACTACGTCTCATGATTTTTTGAGTGCCTTGTTTCCATACGTAATATCAAGATTAGCTATATATATTACTATTTTCCGCATTAGTTTTTCTGCGTTTCTGTGCTTTTTCTTGTCCGGGTCCTGCGTCAAAATAGTAGTGTCCATCGTTTTGCTTCTTCTTCTTCGAAGGTTTCAATTTTCATGGCTTCCTCCAGTGGAACGTCTTCTGGGTCGTCATCTCTGGTTCGAAACTCTGGTTCCGATGAGGACTTGCAGGTCTTGATGGATCAGAGGAAGAGAAAGAGGATGATATCGAATCGTGAATCGGCTAGAAGGTCAAGAATGAGGAAGCAGAAGCATCTGGATGATCTGGTGGCTCAGGTGGCTCAGCTCAGGAAGGAGAATCAGCAGATTCTCACTAGCGTCAACATCACAACCCAGCAATATCTCACCGTCGAGGCTGAGAATTCTGTACTCAGAGCCCAAGTGAACGAGCTGACCCATAGATTGCAATCTCTGAACGAAATTGTGGATTTCCTTAACACAAGTTCTGCAGTTTTTGCAGCTTCAAACTCATCCACCTTCATGGAACCCACCAACAGCTTATTTAACAACCCATTAAACATGGCCTGCCTGAACCAGCCGATCATGGCTTCTGCTGATATGTTTCAGTACTGTTGAGTTATCTGTATTCCAGAGGAACTTGAAGATTGGCATCGTTAGGTTCTTCTAGATCTGAGTCCGTCCCGTAAAAACTAGTGATTGAGGAATAAACTTTTCAGCACTTGGACCCTAAAACTGGAGCTGTATAATGGCTGATAGGTGTCAAATCACACTCGGACACTAAATGTGTGCGGGTGCTTCTCCTACTGTATAGTGTCAACTCTAGGTCAGTGCTGGTTAATGTAGAAGGGGCATGTATTGTCAAGAGTGATGTTAATTAATCCAGCCACTATTACTGTTGTGGGTCTGGTATGTTGGATTGTAATGGTACTTGCGATTTTAATTTCCCTCTTAAAATTTTCCCTCCTTGCTTGTTATAGACAATCTTGTGATGCTTTTTATAATATAGGCAGTGTTGGTTGCTGAGATCAGTCACCTGTTTTGACTGGAATTGAAGGTGGTAGAAAATTGTTCCGAGGCTGCTAGCCCCAGAGATGGGAAAGATTCAGTAGGTGAGGGTGGAAAAGCGAAACCCATTCAAAGAAAGGAATTAATAATATTTAGATATTTGATACAACATTTTAAAATTAAATTATAAATGTTGATTTAAATAATTATAAATTTAAAAATTTAAATTATAAATAAGATATTTAAATTCTAAAGATATAACTTTCACTTTAGAATATTTGTGCTTTCAACTTTTAAATTAATGCTATTTGCAATTTACTTTTCAGAAAATTTTATTAACAGCTTAATTATTATTAATTTCGTTTTTTATTTATTAGAATTTTCCAATTAAAATATTAACTGTACATGAAACTGGGAAAGGTTAGGAATTATGTGCATGTTTTTTTTTTTAAAAAAATGGAGTGTTTGAAAACATTTTAATGATAAAATAATCAGAGAAGTGAATTAAGAGAAACAAAAGAGTGGGGTTGAGATGGGTGAATTTTTTGTCCTTTGTGCCCTTCGCCAGTTTTTCATTGCTTTTTAACCCGTCATAATAATTGCGAAAGAGTGACTAGTGAAAGATACATCATAATATGAATATGAAAATACGGGTATCGGTGAGTAAATACTAAATTCGAAATGCGTTGTGAAGATGGAGCAGAGGAAAAGGACAAGTGAATAGGAGGGTTCGCTAGTCGCCTACTATTCTCCTCATAAATAATAATGAAATGAAAATATTTAAAATGGAGAAATAGGGACGACACACAAACACGTGTTTGTTGTGTGTGCCTGTCATTTGTCTATCTTCCAAAAAGTAGAACCGCTAATTTAAATTAAATCTGAACCCATTCGAGGAAAAAAATTGAGATCGAATATAATTTTTTTAAAAATGGATATTTTAAATATAATTCAAATAAATTCAATCATTAAAATTATTAATTTTATATGTATGTAGAATGTGCAATTTAGGCAAAGCCAAGCAAGGCAATCCAAACTCATTTCAAAAAAAAGTTAAAATCGAACTTGAATATATAAATTTTTTAATAGGATATGATATTTTAAAGTTAATATGAATAAACTTAACTCAAATTGAGTCAGCAAAAATAAATTTAACCCATTCAATTCATCTAAATCGTTGGCTCTGTGAAAAAGCTCACAACATAGTCTAATTAAGTTGTATGTGATCTACCAACAGGCGCTTGTCTTAGTGGTTAGGGTGTTGAGTTTGAATCTCAAGATATGCAGCAGCACAATGGAACATGCAAAGCATGTCTCTCTAGTGGCACCCGTAAAAACCCTTTAAAGAGGGTTTCACTTAAGTGGAGATTTGAATTAATTTAAAGTGAATTAGACAGGCAATGAATTTAGTGTATCTAAATATTTTAAGATACCAAATGCAAAAAAAAAAAAAAGTTGTATGAAGCCATAGACTCTCTGGCCCAATTTACCGTATTTTTAACTCTAGTTGTCCAAACTCAAAACCTTTCGCATTCATGAAGTTAGCGTATAGGTCGGTCCGGCCTATATGGGTCGACCCGTCGCACTTATGCAAGTCTTTTCACAAAACAAAAGCATGTTTTAAATTAACCTTTGTCCATATGTTTAAGAAATTAAGAAACAAATTAGCACTCACATTGAAAAAGCATGAGAATAAAAAAAAAAATGAAAAGGGGTGCAAACGTGCCAACATGTGGGTTAGATACCTTGTTTAATGCATAGGGTAAAATGGTGAATCACATGAGCCAGGATTGACTTGTTTTTATTTGAGCCAGATTTTTTAAATCCAAACCACCTGAAAAAGTGGGTTAGACTTGGCCTTCTATTACTTAGGGAAAAATCCAGTAAGCTGCTCTTGACCTAACATAACGTCAATCAATTTTTTTAAAATTCTGAAATTTAACTGTGCATGTGAGGGATTGAATTGAAATGAAATTAAAAAATAGTTCAAGTAATTTTATTGTCACCAATGAAATTACTTATATAAATAATTCATGCAGAAAAAATAAATAGTAATTTTATTGTCACCAATGAAAATACTTATATGAATAATTCATGTAGAAAAAATAAATAACTCACATATAAAAAATGAGCAACACACAAGTGGAATGAAAGTTATAAATTCATAATGATATTGTGCTGTTAATAAAATTATATATTATTTATTTTTTATAAATCAATTATTTATTTTATTTATATGAGTTGTTCACATATTTAATTTCATCAAGAAAAATAAACTTATTTGAGTCACTCTTTTAACTTCATGTTTCGCAAATGTGCAATAAAATTTCAAAATTTTAATGAATTGACTAAAATCATATTGAGTCGGAAGGAGTTGACTGAAATTTTCTGTATTTCCAACTCCAGTTCTACGCTATATTATTCTATTGTGAGAATAAAAAAGTAATACGTGTAAAAGTAAAATTCAAGAGAAGTAACACAACCTTTTCCAATAAATTCGTTCTAATCATATATTGTACTCCCCTGTTTTTAAATAAAAAGAAAAGCAAATCATATAGTCAAAAAAAGAGAGAGACTTTTGCATGTATAGCTTATATTACATGATTAAACCAAATAAAAAACTCAATATTTATTATATTTTATATTATGATTAATTTATTATATTTGTTAATGGTATATTATTGTGTATCACTAATAAACCTTTTATAAAATTTTAAATTTTTAAATAATAAATTTATTATATATTAATGTGAATCGACTACAGTTTCAATTTTTTAAAATTTTGATCCATATTTTTTAAGTGCAATATTTTTTTAGCTAATAGATCGATTTATCCTAAAAAAATTGATTAAATATAATAATTACATCCAAAGTTGAAATAGTTAGACTGAATTACCCTTATAACTAAATAAGCAAGTTTGCCTCATGATCTGGCTACAGAGGGTTGATGTAATTCATCTTGAATCTGGTAATCCAAGCCAACATTGATAGATTAGCCCAAACTTACTTAAAAAAATTAGGGTCGTGTTTGACTATATAAATTTTTTAAAAAAGATAGAATATTTTAAACTCAACTGTTAAAATTATTGGCTCTCTATATATATAGGAAGTAATTTTGGCTAAACTCAATTAGCCAGCTTGAATCTAAAAAAAAAGAAGTTAAAATCAGGTTTGATTACATAAGTTTTTTTAAAGAATATGATATTTTAAATTTAATTTGAATAAATTTGACTGGCCTGAATTTTCAAATGTAATTTATCTTAAATTTCTATAAGACTTGCACAGGCCCACGTCTTGTCTGGAAAATCACAATATATCACACTTAAGAAGCATCCAGATTGTTCCCTAGAAGAAAAGGCATGGAGCTGAATTACAAGGCGATGCTATAATATGGGGACCAACCGATCATGTTATTTTAACAATTACAAGAAAATATTATTTTGATGGCTGCAGATTAATTTGCACGACAGTTATTCTCCTTATCTTTTTTGTTATTATCATGTTTCCTCATCTCTTTCAATATAATAATAACAATTTTCTCTCATGATCAAACAGAAAAATAAGTCGAATCCAGTCAATAGAATATAATTTTCGATCTAATTAAAAATATAAGTCATTTAAGTAAAATTAAAATTATATATTTTAAATTGGCATCTCTTAATCTATTTTATTTTATACTCTCTCTAATACTATTTACAAATCATTTCTATTAATTTTATTAATATAAATATAATAAAAATATAAGAAATAAAAGAAAAAAAATTCCAAACATTACCGTAAAATAAAAAATAAAAAGTAAGCAAATTATATAATATTATTTTTTATTTTACTTTTTAAGTGTATTTTGAGAATTTTAATTTAAAATAAAACAATTTCATCATTTAATAATTTATAGAATGAATTAAATTACATTTTTAAAAGGCACTTAATATACAAAACCAAAGGGAGTATTAACTAAATATTTAAACCAAACAATATACTCAATTAAGGAAGCACAATTTGAAAAGAGAAAAATATCCTAACTCAGGTATTCCAAGTTGGTTCGGTTTGACTGGAAAAAAAATGGGTCCATTCAAAGAAAAAAGGATGTTTAAAAAAAGGAAATTAAAGCAAATTAAGAACTAAACAAAATGAAAGTAATGAAAAATTACAGCTTTGTTTAAAAGCAAAGCCGCCGCGGCAATTTCCTGGAAACTGCCTCTTCGGTCAAAACAGTACAGCAGTGAGCAGATAAGACTATAAGTGAGCTGAACTGACAGGGCTTATAGCGTGATCATTCCATGGTATATAAAATTTGGATCAACATCTCTCGTTAACCTAATAAATCATCAAATCAGTATTTTAGTTAATTTAATAAAATATTTTATTTATAATTAATTTAATCAATATCGATTATAATTTTAATTATTAACTTTTGAACCAGTTTAATGGCCCATCTAGTTTGAATGTATTGCATCCATCCAATGGAAGCAAAAAATGTTCAATTTACCAACAAAATAATATTTCTTCAAGAGATTGAATTCTATAAATAATGAAATTAGAGCCAAGAGAGAATAAGCACGTGCATGAGCAACGTTTTCAGATCATGCACGTTTGTCCAGAAAGAGTCCATTAGCGAGAAAAAAAGTCATGTTCAATTTCCACGTCCTCTGCTTTTTAGTTCTCTGACTTTTACCGCCATCATATATGATCATATTACTTTTCATTTTCAATGCCAAGTCACATTAAGTCTGTGGGTTAGTGTTAATCACATGGACTTGAACAAGAAAATTAAAGCTTATTATATAATTTATATTATCATTAATACTGCAATATCGATTATGCTTGCAAGAAACAAGAATGATATTTTGATCCTGATTTTTTTTTTAATCTAATGACACAACATATTATGCTGCAAAAATTGTTTTAAAATTTTGTATTTTGCTTATGTTAAATCCGCGTGCAAAGGAAACAA